AAGCAAGAGAAAGAAATAAAAAGGATATGAATAGGAGAGAAATAAAACTATTCTTGTTTGCAAATGACATGATCATTGATATAAAAGACCCAAAAACTTTCATTAGAAGACTCTTAGTAATGTAGCAGGATACAGTATCAACACACAAAATCATTAACATTCCTGTACACCAACAGTGAACCCACTGAAAAAGAAATCAGGAAAATAATCTCATTCATGATAGCTTCAAAAAATTAAATACCTAGGAATTAGCCTAATTAAAGAAGTGAAAGCCTCTATAATGAAAATTATAGTACTCTGGAAATCAAAGATTGAAGAGGACATTTAAAAATGGAAAGATATCCCCTGTTCCTGGATAGGCAGAACCAGTATTATCAAAATGGTCATATTACCAAAAATGATATAGTTAATGCAATTTCAATCAAAATTCCAATCAAAATACCAATCTAGTTTAGTTGTCACAAAACTAGAAAAAATGATCCTAAAATTTATATGGAATCAGAAGAGATCCAGAGTATTAAAAAGCAATCCTGAGCAAAAGAGCAAAGCAGAAAGTATTGCAATCTCAAGTCTGAAGTTACATTACAAAGCTACAATAATAGAAACAGCATGGTACTGCGCCAATGGAATAGAATTGAGGATATAGAAACATCCACTATCCGAACAACCTTCAGCTATATGATTTTTTTTTTTTTTTGGTTTTTCTCCGGTACCAGGAACTGAACTCATGACCTTGCGCTTGCCAGGCAGGCGCTTTGCCACTGAGCTAAATCCCCAGCCCCCATCAGCTATATGATTTTTGACAAAGGGGCCAAAAACATACCTGGAGAAAAGATACCTTCTTTAAAATAGTGCTGGGAAAACTGGTTATCCATTCACAGAAGAATGAATCTAGGCCCACATCTCTAATCCTGTTCTAATATCAAATAAAAATGGATCAAAAACCTAAATATAAAAACAGAAACACTGAATCTGCGGAAGATAAAATTGGTAAAACTCTTGAAGACATAGGCATAAGCAAGAACTTTCTGAACAGGACTCCAGGTATGTAAGACATAACACCAAGAGTCAACAAATGGGGTTGTATCAAATTAAAAAGCACAGCCAAGGAAGCAAGCAACAGATTGTTTAGAAGACAACCTAGAAAATGGGAAAAAATTTGTCAGCTAGCCCTCAGGTAGAAGGCTAATATCTAGGATGTATAAAGAACTAAAACAAATTAGATGCCTCCAAATAAAGACCCAATCAAAAAATGGGCAGTTGAAATGAATAGACATTTCTCAAAAGAAAAGAAGTATAAATGGCCAATAAGTACATGAATAAATGTTCAGCATCTTTGGCTGTTAGAAAAATGCAAATCAAAACAACACTGAAATTTCATCTTATTCCTGTAAGAGTGGCTTCATACAGGATTCAAAAACCTATAAATGCTGGTGAGATCATAGGGGAAAAGCAACACTTTTACATTGTAAATGGAAATTTAGAGTTGTACAACCATTATGGAAATCAGTATGGAGAATCCCCCCAAATTAAAATAGAAATTCCCTGGACCCATCTGTACTTATTTTGGGTATCCTCCCCACCAAAATTAAAAACATCATATTACAGTGATACATACATGCCCATATTTACAACAGCACATCTCATAATTCAGTCTTGGAAGCATTCTAAAATGTGATTATTGATCTACCTTAGCCATAGAAAAGGATAAATTTGAGTCAGTTGGAGGAAAATAAATAGATCTTGAGACCAGAGTCCTAGGTGAAAGAAATCAGAGAGAGTTAAATGTGGCTTGGCTTATCTTACATAAGAACCTTAAAATAAAAATAAAGAGCAAAATAAAAGAGAAATGATATGAAACACGAGTATAGAATGTATTGTACAGACGGAGAGAGGTTCAGGGGAAGTAGGGGACAGGTGAGGGCAGTGGGGGTGGGTGAGGAAATAAAAATGATCAAGATGCAATATGTGTACTTATCCGTTTCCCAAGCTGAACGTAACTATCATGTATTACAAGGATAAACTGACCAAAGTTTTAAAAAGTGGTATTTGGTAAAGTCTCATGCACAAATGAGTAAAGTTGGACCTTTCTTTTATACCACATACAATAATAAACTCAAACTGGACCAAAGAGCTAAACAACTTACACAAATTTTAGAAAAAGCATCGGGAAAAAGCTTGTGAATATGACACCAAAATCACAAAACAACAACAATAAGCAGATAAATCGCACTTCATCAAATTAAAGGCTTTGCCTACCAAAGGACATTGGAATAAGTAACCCACAGACGGGATACAATACTTACAAGTCATACATTCAATAAGACCTTAATATTTAGAATAGATAAAGAACTGGTCCCAGTTAACAACAGCAAAAACAATCTAATTTAAAATTGGTCAAAGGACTTGAATAGTTATTTCTCCAGAGGAGACAGAAAATGACAGCAAGCACTTAAAATGACAAACATCACTAACAAATATGGAAATGAGCCCACGTTGTGTGTATCAAGACAGCTTCTGCTGGGTTTTTTTTTTTTTTTTTTGTCTTTTTGAGACAGGGTCTCGCTATGCAGTTCAGGCTGGCCTTGAGCTCACTTTGTAGCTCATGCTGGCCTCAAACTCACAACGATCCTCCTGTCTCAGCCTCCCGAGTGCTGGGATTACAGGCCTGCACCACCACGCCCGGCTCAGCTTCTGCTTTAAAAGAAACGAAAGTGAGAAAGGGTGATGCTGTGGAGAAATGGGAGTCTGTGCTATCGGTAAGAATATAAACGGTGCAGCTGACACGTAATGCAGTAAAGTTTCGGGAACAGTCCCTAACTGTACTTCCACATAGTCTTGCAATTCCACTTCTAGGGAGGTGCCCAAGACAATCTCTGAAAGGTACTCAAACAGGCACTTATCACTGTAGTTTGACCACTGAATGTCTCTCAAAGGCTCATGTGTTTTGTCTCCAGAATGGCTCCTCTGGGCAGGGGTTTAACTTCTAAGAGATGAGGTCTACTGGGTTCTCCTAGGGTCACCTAGGACAGGACTTTGATCCTCTTTCTTTTTTCGTGTCCTGGCTAGGAGATGAGTGGTTTTACTCTGGCACAAACTCCACAGGCCCCCTGCAACAACAGGGACTATTGACTATAAACTGGAACCTCTAAAACAATGGGCCAAAAATAGATCTTTTCTCTTTATAAGTGAATTATCTTATATATTTTGTTATAGTGACATAAAGCTAACACATTTTACACTAATATTCATAGCATCCTTATTTGCAATAGATGAATGTAAAAGTAACACAAATACCAGTGGATGAATGGACAAACACAATGTCATGTTCTCATAAAATGGAATATTACTTGGCCCAAAGTTGGAGTAAAATTTTAATACATAGATGTGAGTTGAAGTCAGTATGCCTGCTGAGAGGACAAATAAGTGATTCTACTTGTATGAAGTACCTAGTATATAGTCAAATTCACCAGAGTGTGAAGGGAGGAGTGGGGCTTACTGTTCGACGGGTACAGATTTTCAGTTTGGGATCGTGAAAAAGTTCTGGAAAAGTGATGAGTGCATAGCAATGTGAACATACTTAATGCCACGGAATTGTACACTCAGAAGTGTTTAAGATGGTAAATTTTACCTTCTGTTATATACATTTTTACCACAATACAAAGACAGTGCTAGAGGATATTTTTAAGGGCTTGAATAAATGAGAATATCACCATCTGTCACATAAGATGTGGGAGGTGTTTTAGAACAGGAAACTCAAAGACTCCCTTGAGCTTGAAAAAGTTCTCTCAGATTTATTAAGCTCAGAATCGACGCTGTTCCCAAAGGCTCATATTTTGCTTGTGTGCTTGGTTTCTTTTTAAATTTCACACTGGTTTCTTGTCTCTGCTTCCCAGTTCAGCTTGTGCTCCTGGCACCAAATTCACTTACCACTTTTATTCTGCACAGTCAGGCTGCTGGAAGTATTTTATGCCACCTTTATTTCTCTCAAGCGTATCTAGTAAGTCGTGTGGAGGATACTCAGGGGAGACCTAAGGTGTCCCCAGCACTGTGAGGACCCCTTCACCACCTCTATTCACATATCACCTTTTCCTCTGCTTAGTTAATTTCTCCCCTTCTAGTATAAATGCGTTTGAGTTATTCAACAGAGGAAATGTCTTCTGCCTCCTCCTCACAAATTTGGGTTAATTCTAATACTCCCCTTTGCATCACAGCTTTCTTCAAAATACAATCCACATTCCTAGACTTACAGCTGATCACGAGGCTGTGGTTTATCCGACAGTGCTGAGGCTCTGTGGCCCTGTTTTCCCTTATCCCATGATGATCGTGAGCCGTGTGGCGTGAGGAGGAAGTATGCCATGCAGGTTTCCATTACCACCACGCACTTGACCCCGCTGCAACGTTCTTGCTGCCCTTCCCAATGAAACTCTATGAACTAAATCTCATGTGTATCCCAGGTTTTGCTTTGCTCGAGATGTCATGGCATTTAAAACTCTGGCCATTCCTTTCTCAAAATTCTGAGCACACTTTGCTTCTTTTCTGGGTGAAATATAAGCCAAGGACTAGGTAGTACAGAGATACAGAGGCTGGTGACCTAGCTTTGGTTTGTGACCACTCTCCAAGGCCATCTCGCTGCAGTGCTTTCAGCAATCTGATCAAGGCCTTTGTGGGACCCAAACTGCAGATCGTATTTCCAGTCTTGCTATCCTTGTACCGTCACAGCACCTTATCTGGCATCTGTTAGATGTACTGTTGAGAGAACTTTCCTTTTACTACAATGGTTTCAAAGGACACAAAAGACACTTTTGCTATAGGTTATGTACTTATTGCTTCATTTTCTTTTCTAAAATTTATTTTGCTTTTCAGATCCACTGATTGTATCAACAACGTTAATATGAATATCAATCATGGTTGCTATATATTATCTTTAGGCATTTGCCTGTTGCCTGTACCCCTGAATCACCGAGATTCTCACATCTTATACTGTAACAGAATCTTACCTTTAGGTTATTTTTGGTGATGTTAAAGCCATCAATGAACACATCCCCAGAGGTAGGACTAAGCTCACCAGTCAAAATTTCAAATGTAGTTGTTTTTCCTGCCCCATTAAATCCAAGTAATCCAAAGCACTCCCTCTTTTGGACTGCAAGGGAGATATTTTTCACAGCCAGAATTACTGGATATTTAAAGTATATCTAAAAAAAAATCCACAGAACACAATTCACTAAAGTGTACCATAGACCAACACCTCAGATAGTTTCATAAGAACTCTTTCAGAAGAAAACACGGATCCCAGAGAACCCCAGTGAGCCCTTGACACCAATGGTGCAGTCTTGGGAATGTGTGAGGTCAGAACACAGAGGTCACTGAATTGACAGTACCTTCACGAGTTCTTTAATAAGCAACGGGGATTTCAGCAACTCTTCAGGCTGCTCCAGAATCCTTGTTCTCTCATCTTGAACATCTTTATCTTCAGACTTCCCAGATAATTCCTGGGACATTAAATCCTGTATTTTCAAGGCAAGAAATACGCCAGTTAGGCATCTATTCTAGACTGAGCTGTTTCATGAAATCGTAACTGGCGGATATTATTAGAGATGTCAAAACAGACATTTTGAGGAATTTCCAAGAGACTTTCTGAATATCACCTCAGGTTTCATATACAACTGGATTTAGTAATGAATAGTTCATTACAGAAATGAAGGTGGAGACCAGAGAAAATGCGCTCACAAAGTAAAAAGTGTGCATCAAAATGCTACAGTGTATACTTTAAATCTTGGAAGAATTTAAAGCATTCAGAGAAATGATTTTATCACCTGGATTTTTATGAAGTCAACCTGAGAGAGAATAGAGACTTCAAAAAAATACAGCAACATATCTGCAGTAATAAATAATCATTTTTTCTTTTATCCAATAACTGAGGCAGTCACATACAGATATATACTTTATAGGCATAATTTTCAACATTTTTAGAATTGCTCTTATGTTGCTCCATGGTTAAGCACTCACCTTCTTGAACTTTTTATAAATACCAAAGTAAATATACTGGTGGATAAATGCTCTCAATCTCCACAAAGCATTCTCCCAAAGAAAAATGAAGATAAGGAACACAAAGCCCAGGATACTCATAGCAATCAAACACTTTCCAATCATGTGATTTTCCAAAGAATAAATACTCTTCTCAGTATCTGAAGAGGGAGAGGGAGAGAAACAGAATGCTACTAGTGTACAACATTGGCCCAGTGAACAAAGACTGAGAAAACAACAAATACAAAGAAATACAGGGAAAATGAAATATTGGGCCAAACCAAGACAAAGTGTTAGAGTATAAGAAGTAATTATCCTGTATAAAATATCACTGAGTAGCAATGAATTTTGAAGGCTGACCCTAATTAACATAATGCATGGTAGTAAGTCTATGAATGTTAATATATATTGATATGCTAATAATTAGTGCATGACATGAAACATAGGCTCCAAATCCTGTCAGAGGTGTGAAATATTAAGTTGATAATTGGAAGAAAGCTTTGAAGTACAAGTACTCTTGGAAAAGGGAACACACTACGCTTTAAACAAGGTAAAATTGATCATTAGCTGATACTTTGAACTTTCTTGAAAATAAAGATCAAGAATAAAAGACAGGGAATTCCTGTTATAAGAAAATTATAACTCATTCCCTTAAAATTTTTTAGAATAGTTTTATAGTTACAGAAAAAGCTGCAGAGAGGATAGGGAATTCTATAATCCTTCATCCAGTTTCCCCTAGTATTAACGATGTACTTTAGTACAGAGCATGCTATCATGAGTGAACAAATATTGATACATTTTTATTAACCAAAGTGGTTAAATTTATTCATACTTCTTAATTTTTAAATGTAATGTCCTTTTTCATGCTTAGACTAGAGTTGTAGTGTTTTTATCATATTAAAAATAGGGGCTGTCCTATCAACAGTGAATTATCTCTGTTGATGTTGACTTTGAACATCTGGTTGAGGTAGTGCTTGTTAGCTTTCTTACCTGGTTTTTGTTTCGTTTTGTTTTGACTATGTAGTTCTGGCTAGCCTCAAACTCTTGATCGTTCTGCCTCAGTCTACTAGAGTACTGAGATTATAGTTGTGGGCCACAACACCCCGCTTCTTGTGTTTTTTTTTTTTTTTTTTTTTTTTTTTGTCTTTTTGAGAAGAGTTTCCCTTTGCAGAGCAGGTTGGCCTTGAATTCACTTTGTAGCCCAGGCTGGCCTTGAACTTGCAGTGATCATCCAGCCTCCACCGCCTGAGTGCTGGGATTACAGGTGTGTGCTACCATGCCTGGCTATGAGTTTTGTTTTTAATCCTTAAATATGTGCTGTCTTCTTCTTTTTTTTTTTGCTTCTTTTCAGGTACCAGGAATTGTGTGTTGTCTTCTTCTACTATTTTGTGTATGGACCCTGGCTACTCTTTCTGATTTGTGATTTGTGATTTTCACGGACCATCAAAAACAGTAATTCTGGGGCTGGGGATTTAGCTCAGCTGCAAAGCGCCTGCCTGGCAAGTGCAAGGTCGTGAGTTCAGTTCCCGGTACCGGAGAAAAACCAAAAAAAAAAAAAAAAAAAAAAAAAAAAAAAAAAACAAACAAACAGTAATTCTACGGAATGGTGATGATGAGTTTGGGATGATTACTTGTATGCTTAGTTGATAAAAGCTATTTATGTTGGTACAGAGAAGCATAGTTTCTTTATAAAGGTCTTTTTCCTGGGTGGAGGAAGTAGTCATAATGCTGGTAGAATGGATAAAGTTTATTGGTTTATAACTGCATTACAAATCCAGTGTATATAATTTAATAGAATAACTATGTAATTCAGTGGAATCAGAGTAAAAAAATCACGTGCTTATGTCAACACAAGCTGTTTAAAGCATCTGATAAAATTGAAAATTTATTCATGACTTAAAAAACCAAAGATGATGTAGAAAGGAACTTCCTTAATCTGATAAAGGTTTCTATAGTAAACAACATACCTAATGGTAAAATATTACAATGTTCATTCTGAAATTGGAATAAAACTGGAGGTTTGCCATTACCACTTAAGTTTATAGTACTTTGAACTACGTTTCTGACAAAGCAGTCAGGCAAATACAAAAAATAAGTGTGTAAGGACTGGAAAAAAAATGTATTAGCAGCTGCTTTAAATACATTCATTGATAAAAAAACCAACTCTATTTAAATTATGAAAATTAATTGAGCAAGTTCAATATGCAAATATAGACTGATTTATATTTCTCTATCAGCAACAACTAAACAATGACACTTTAAGAAATAATAACATTTATAACAGTATTAAAAAGATATATAGAGCAATGCTAAAAACATATTTTCAATGTCCCTAAACTAATAACTACTAAACTATAAAAATAAAGGTGATGTAAATAAATAAATGGATGGCTGGGATTAAATAACTGCAACAACATACTAAATCTACATATGTCAAGCCAAAACGTACAAAGACTTTAAATCTTTCAAAGTCGTTCTATGGAATTAAGGAATTGTATTGTCTGTAGTTTACACTGTGAGTACTGAGCTGCTGTGAGTACTGCTGTGAGTACTGTGAGTACTGAGGTCACTGATGATTGCTTTAAGTAGAACCAGGCTTACTAGGCACTCTTTCCTTCCCTACACTTTCCACCCATCACGAGTAACATACTTTTAAGATTATTTAATAAGATACAGTTCAGTCATAGGAATTTCTGAGGTTAAAAAGCAGTTTACCCTTCTTTTTCCCAAATCTTTAGTACTGCTGTCTTTTCTGTTGCTTTCATTTCTAGTGCTTTTCTCCATTACACTACTCTCTATCATCCGAACTATTATTTCCTACGTACACCTACATACTAAAAATTTACCGAGTCCTCTGTGTGCCAGGTGCTGTATTAGACCCTGGAAATGGGTGTTATCTGCTCCTTTAAGTAAGGTTTGGACAGGTGACTGTGATTATTTGTGGTGATGACAGCACTACAAAAGTAAGTATAATACAATTACAATACAAATCCTTTCCCTGGGGATTCTTTCCCATACAAGGAACCCCAGTTTTGCCCAATAAAAGCTGTGTGACACAGAGCATTAGTCCTCAACCTTTATGGCACCAGGGACCGGTTTCATGGAGAACATTTTTTTTCACCAGATGTTTGGGGGATGATTTAAGAACATTGTATTTATTGTGTACTTTATTTCTATTACTGCATTTAATATATGATAAAATAATTCTACAGTACCATAATGGAGAATCCGTGGGAGCCCTGAGGTTGTTTTCCTGCAGCTAGACACTCTCAGCTGGGGGCGGTGCGAGACAGTGACACCCAAAGTGTATTGCTTATGTCTACTCTACTCCGTAATCTTGTTTTGGTTGCTGTCACTACAGAAAACTCCGCTTCAGAAAGATAGGATGGGGAAATGGAAGGAGGCTTTTCAGTGTTGCTGTGATAGCTGCAGGATATTCTGCCTTGACTTTAATCCGGAACATATGGAGATAGGAAGTTGTCTCAAAACATACTTTTAAGGCAAGGCCATCGTCATCTGCAATTTCAAACAGCTGATTCTCTTACAGCACGAAGCTGACTTAGCTGTCTTACTCACAAATGGATCCCAGATCCATTCCTTCCCAGTTCTGGAGTCTTTCGTGGTTGGGAAATAATGCTTAAACCTGAAAGCTGAGATAGGTGATGAAAACCAGCAGGGAGAAACAAAGCTCTGGCTCAGTCTTTTTAGAAATCTCTGCTAATGTCTGAAACATGTAAAAAATCTCAATGTTCACTCCTCACCCACATTTTCAGTTTCGCTTTGAAGGCATCCACCTCATCTTCCCACTTGAACAGAGGTCTCTTTCTCTCCAGAAGTGACAGATTGAGTTTGTTTAGCAGGCTCAATATGTCATGCAAGTAAACAAGTTTTGTGACCCATTCTGTGTCACTGAAATGTGCTGCTAACAGTAACTATTTTTCCAAAACAAATCTCTAGAGTGGCTCTTCTAACTCAAAAGTTCTGGGCAGTGATCTACCTTTAGAAGGCCATTTTGCTTCAGGATATGAGAGGAAGACTTTTGTACTTTCCATTCATCTCCTCACACGGCTGCACAAACAAATGTGCATTAAGAGCACGTACTTTAATGTGGCCAGTAATTTTAATCATATCTGCAAAACACTGTTAAATTCAGATGACATTTTTAGCCAGCATTTCTGTGTGGCTGACAGAGGATGTAGACTCACATTTAGAAGTGACCTCTTTAACCAGAGTAGTAAAACTAGAAAGCCAGTCAGTTATGACAGCCGCACTATTTGTACATAAAATCCCAAAGTGACCAATTGAGCTTTTCTGATGTACAACCAATCAAAGATTTGAACAGTTCTACAGCTGCCATGTTGGCTGGAACAAAGGCACACATACTGTATCCTCATGCACATCCTCCTGAAAAATATATCACAAAGAGCAAGTATTGTTTCTTTGTTGTCATCATTGTTGGACTTGTCAACCTGGATTGCATACCATGGTGAATCATAAATCCTCTCTACCAGCTGTGCCTTGATATTGTCTGCTATTTCAACAATTTGTCTGGTTGTGGTGCTAGGTGAAAGAGGAATATGTGCCATCTTTGAACTACAGTCTCTCCAGAAATTCACAACAAATGTCCTTAGCAGCAGGCAGGGTCAATTCTTACCAATAGTGAGGGCTTCTTAGCTGCAGCAATGTACTTAGCCACTAATAATGCTGCCAGTGCAGGTATATTTAAGGGAGGGGTGGCTTCAATACTGCTTCTGTTCTTTATGTGAACACTTTTTTTTTTTTCGAAAAACACCAACCGTTTTTTTTTTTTCTTAACGCAGGGTGCTTTTTCTCCACAGTCAGTTTTGGAGGATTCACAGCTTTGCTGGGTAGCTGATTGCTACATATGAGCTTGGAGAAATTGAATGACCAATTGAAATGAACCTGTAGTCTAAGTAGGACTCTTACTATTTTCTTTTGGTTTTTGTTTGGTTTTTTTTTGGTTTTTCTCCGGTACTGGGAACCGAACTCATGACCTTGCGCTTGCCAGGCAGGCGCTTTGCTGCTGAGCTAAATCCCCAGCCCCTACAATTTTCTTTTGGTTGGCAGTCTTAGAGTATTCTGTTGTCTCATCATTGAGTCTTCTCTTTTCAAAGAGGCTCTCCAGGGCCATCTGCTTTGTAACTCATTTTGACTGGGATTAACTTGTGGCCTTATCAAACTTCAGCTGAGAGGAGTGTGCAGTGCAGGGATGGAAGACAGGCAAGGATGGAAGTGGCCAATAAAATAATGGGCAGGCCAGAGGACGAAAATAACTGTCAGATTCTGATTTAAAGCTCTCACCAGATGCAGCTGTCAAACTGAAAAGCATCAACTCACTTGTTATTCTAAAGCTTGCCACTAGATGTGGCTTAATTGCCATGTGCCACTTCCTGATAGGGTTTTGATATGAGTCCACAAGCAACGGATTTATTATGGTCTCTGGCAGTCAAACTCCTCGATAACGCTAATCTGTATTTGCAGTCACTCCCCAGGGAGTACTTCACTCCGCCTTACATCATCATCCAGCATTAGATTCCCATATGGAGGGTGCAATGTAGATCCCTTGTGTTATGGTTTACGTCTAGATGTTCCCACAAAGCCTCATGCAGTCATGGGGTGGGTTTCTAGAGTTTGTGATTGATTCATGGTCCAATGCTGGGATATGGGTGTGAGTGCTGCACCGCCTCTGGACAGGCAGCCTGCCTACAATAGAAGGGAGGGAAAGAGGCTTGCTCTTCCTCCTCCCTTTTTGCTCTTGCTGTTTTTGCTGTTTTCTGCTGCCATGAACTGTTATCCTCTGCCATGTGCCACTCTGCCTTGGAGCCAGCCAAGTATGGACTGAAGCCTCCACAAACTGTGAGCTAAATAAACCTTTCCTTCCTTAATTCTGGGTATCAGGCATTTTGCCCCAGCAATGAGAGAAAAGTAACTAAGACACCTTGCACGTGCTATCCACAAGAGGGTTCAGGCCCCTGAGACAACCTAATGTCACCACTCATCTGAACTGAGTGGTGCTCAGGCAGTAAGGCAAGTGGTGAGGAGTAGCTGTAAATACAGATGAAGTTTTGCTCGCTTGCCTACCACTCACTTCTTGCTGTGTGTCAGTTTCTAACGGGCCATGAATGATGTGAGGGTTGGGGACCATGACAGAGGGTGCAAAGTCAGTTTCCTTAAAATGGGTGTAAAGTCAGATAACTTGAGATGGTTATGAAAATTTAAAATAATACCCATAAAGCTAGTAGATATTTGATTATTGTTAGGTCTTCCACATGGGACCCTACCCAATTTGAAGAGAAAAAACTCTGACAGACCAGTCTGTTCAAACAGAAAAGCCCCCTCGCTCAGTTCAAGAGACTAAAATAAATCAGTTTATCAGGATGGTTCCAAGGCCTGGTTCTCAGGCTTACAGGAAACCCTGTAAATCTACAGAATATCATGCTGTAAATTAGCAGAATACCACTGTCATCCTAAACTTCCCTCCCCTAGAGGCACCAGGCCCGACAATGACCCCTAAGAAACAAATTTTTCCATCTACCTCGGTGGGACTCCCTCCCATGCTTTTACTAGTCTATAAAAGCATGTTCTCTTCCCTTGTTCAGAGCCAAAGGCTTCCGTGTCCTTGGCCAGGCTGCACCCAGCCTGAAATAAAGATATTGCTGTTTTCTTCAATCCTGCCTGTCCTGGTGGTCTCAGTCACTACTCAGGGTCTAGCCTGACAATTATTAGTTGCTCTCATTCTACACCTGATAACTAAACTTACCTTGTATATACTTTTGAGGCTTATAATGTTTAAGAATGTTTCACCCAATCTCACAAAATGACTTCTATAACAAAGCATATGTTCTCAACTGAAAGGTGAGGAGGTTTGTCACACCTTCCATGGTCTGGGCCTGAATCTGATTTCCTAGAGATGTAGAGATCTTTCATATACTTACTTTCTTTACTACAATTTAGTAGGTAATTAACAGTTTTCTGGGTGCACAATATCTTCACTCTGTAGACCTCAGTGTAGTCGCTGACGCACTTCACAAGGTTGTAATTGGGAAGCAGCAGCAGCATGTTGCGTATCAAGGCTTGAGTGGTATTCGACATGCCACTTTCCATTTCTGAAAGGATAAGAAGAGTAGTTACACAATAATACACTGTCCTTAAGAAGAGATACCTGTTATTACTGATCAAACCAATCTCAGGGAATTAAAAATCAGATAATTATCTTTGAAGAGTAATTACTTCCCAGTGAGTCTGTTCCAATTCATAGCTAGTGATAAAGACCTAGACCTGACACTGTAGAACTCTGAAAAGTCGTTTGGTGAAGTCCTTGTGTTTTCTTTGTGAACAAAATTTTGACTATTAACTAATTGAATGATTTAACACAAGTGTAATTCACATTTTCTAATTTTTAAAGTGGACTTAGTAAATCATATTTTGCTAGAAGTGTAACAGTTTGTTCTAAGTTTTCCTACTAGTTGGTCAAAATTTGTCATATTCTCTTATATTTCCAATGGTATAACTGCACACACACACACACACACACCCTGTACTTCTGTTGCCTTTTTGCACATTGTAGATATTTTGTGATCTACTTGTTGTATGTATGAATGACTAGTGGTTCTGCTGGTACTCTGTTGCATATTCATTTTCTATTTCATTCATTTTTGCCTTTATTCATCATCCTACTTTCTTTAAATATGTTATGCTATTCTTTGTAGCTTTTTTAAGTTGGATGGTAAGTTTAGCCTTTACAATGTTAATAGTTAAAGTGATAATTTTTCCCAAATAATTTTTGCTACAGAGTATCTATGTTACTCTTTAGTTGTAAATATTTTAAAATTTCTCCTCTGATTCGTTTATTAATTTTTAAAAGCTTGCTTGGTGTGGTGGCACATGTCTGTGGTCCCAGAATTCAGGAGGCTAAGGCAGGAGGACAACTGTGAGTTTGAGGCCAGCCTGGGGTACATAAGTGAGTTTAAGGCCAGCCTGCATTACATAATGAGACTCTGAATCAAAAAATTAATTATTAAAATGCATTTAAAAAAATATTTATTTGGTTTTTTGAGACAGGGTCTCCCTAATATAGTCCAGGCAGGTCTTGAACTCACTCTGTAGCCCAGGATGGCCTTAAACTCATAGAAATCCTCCTGCCTCAGCTTCCCAAGTGCTGGAATTACAGGCATGTGCTACTATGCCCAGTTCAAAAGGTGTATTTTAAAGTTCTCAAATGTATTCTTTTCCCAGTTATATGTTACCAAATTTTATTTTTTTGGTACCAGGAATCGAACTCAGGACCTTGCACTTGCCAGGCAGGCACTTGTGCCATGGAGTTGTATTCCCAGCCCCAAATTTTAATTTAATTGCATAATTTATAATGGATATGTCCTTATACACTAATCTGCATGATGTATTAGGTGTTCAGTTTGTAGAACCTATCATGCACACTTGAAACACGTGTTTGGGGTTCTGTGCTCTTATATGTAACTTTAAACTCAAGCTGTTTAACTGCTAATAAACTAGTGTACTGTTCAATAGAATAGACACAGTTAACTGACTGCCTCATTCTGATAGTTTCAACTATGTACACTTCTAGACTCTATTGCTCGGGAAATAAAAATTTAGAATTACAGCTTCATGCTCAGTTGAATCTGGTGTCATGTTGAGGACCTCTTCATCTCTATGCATTTGTTTTACCTTACAGAATATTTTTCTCCTGTAGATACAACCACTCCAGTTTTATTTTATGAGTACATGCATGAGCTCTTTGATGCTTGCTTACTATCTCCAAAAGCACTTGATTTCAATTTATTGTTGGCCTCTGCCAATTCCATACTTTCTTCCCAGTTCATTATTTTCAATAAAGTGTGATTCACAGTGTTGTTATAGTGCTGAGGAGTGCGGGTCTTGTGAGTCCTCACTCTAAATGACTGTTTGCAGCATATTCCTCTCAAAGTATCTTTTTAGACTTTCTGCAGCAGCGACCCTCTGTTACCCTATCTCAGTTGCTCATCTCTAGTGTCACAAGCGATAACTCCTCAGAATAAATGATAACTTCTCTTGGTCAGGGTTTACAGATTCAAGTGATTTTAGGTGAGTCTTCCTTATGTAACAATATTTACTTTTAAATAGATGTTCAAAGCACACACAGTTGTTTGCTTTCCATAATTTGGGGATTCTTTTGTGAGTGTAAGCACTCAGGCTCAAGTCTTGTTCAAAGGCAATATTCATGCTATAAAAGTGTGCAGAAGAGTACATAATCCAGTGTTCAACTGATCCAGGGAATTCTTTTCTGATAGGTCAAGGTAAGAGAAGGAGGTGGGGATCCTGTGCCTAAGGAGCTCTGGAACAACAGAAAAGGATGAAGAACCTGACTGAGTTCAAATTCACATTATAAGGTGATTCAAAACAAGGGTAATATAGTGGCACCTCGGTTCACAAATGCTTTTGTTTTTAGTTTGCATTGAGTGACAAACATGACTGTGGCCATCTTTGCCACATAAACAATTTTTCCAGAATTGTAGAACAAATTAAGTTCATTAATTGAGGCACCACTATAACAGTAATTTTTAAATCTCTTCATAATGATGATCAGTTTAGTAGCTACATACCCAAACCTCACAATCAGAGAAGGAAAAGGAGGAACTAGAAACAGAGGGAAGGAAAGCTGGCTTGATTATATGTATGTTAGGTGCATAAGGAGTTTTCCTTCTTTATGGAAAATCTTGCTAGGAGTCTCTTGTGCCTTTTCACTGAATTATAAGGAAGAATGATGCCATAAAATCTTCCCTGATTAAAACTGCACATCTTCCCCAAGAACTCAAAATTCTCTGCCATTCTTCCCTCTCTTCTTCTTATTCCAAAATGCCGTATCAAGTGATGATAATTGTTTTTGGTCTTTTTGAGACAGGGTTTTGCTGTGCAGTTCAGGCTGGCCTTGAACTCATGTGACCCTTCTGCCTCAGTCTTCCGAAGCTGGAGTTACAGGCATGCACCACCACACCCAGCAAGTGATGATAGTTTTAAAGATGACACTCTACTACATTTTATTTATAATTTTTTCTAACTTTATAAAACCTTCCCTTTTTAAGAAAGCTGCCCTTCTCTCATCACCCTCACCCCCGGCAAATGAATTTTAGGGACCAAATATTCCTACACTTCCGAAAATCAAGTGCAAAACAGATTCCTTAAGTCTTGTGATGGGAGTTATAGGAAGTAGGGATACAAAGGAGACATCATGTCTAAGGACCTGCATCTCAAGTAGAGTCTCATCACACATTTACAAAGACCCTAGATTTGGTACAATGTTTAGAATATTATAGGCACTCAAAATAAGACTATTAACTTACGTCAAGTGCAGGATTTCTCCAAAAATCAAGAACATAATTGTCTATAAATGTCCTTACATATGTACAAGCCCATTACTCCTTATTTATTTACTGCTGTCTTCTGGAGAAGGGAAGATTTTGTGAAGTTTTTATACTTACTGGTTTTTAATAATTGCTCTATGAGGATACTATAAGTGCCTGAGATGTAGTTGAAGAGGACAAGTTTGATGTATGCAGAAGTACTTTTAGAAAATAGGAAGCTCATCAGGTAGATGAGGGGAATGGAAGACCAGCCATACAATGTAAGGATCAACATTGTTTCCAGAAAGTGGTAATCCATGACGTAAATATCAATTTTATGATATTTGAAAATTCCCTGAAACACAGGGTAGAAGGTGGTGAGATAAAAGCAAGGTGAATGGTAAATACAAACATAAACCAAGCCAGAATATTCAGAGAAGAAAACACCAAGTCCTACATTAATTTAACAGGGAAATGTTCATTATTTAAGTTAATCTCCCTCTTTAAAAAAAACCTAGAGCCTTTGAGCATATATTAAGATGTTTACACCTCTTCTTCACTGGAGTATCTTCCAGTGAGCAGAGTCACTATACGTCTTATTTTTTTGTCTTCTACTTGGAACACTGTTTTTGAAAAACTTATACATAAAGTCTATATATTTTCCTCCAATAGCAACAACTATAAATTTTTCAAGAAAGATTATTTCTTTTAAAAGACTATTTCTCTAAAGATTTTCCTGTGATTTCATAGTCTGTCACTGTTATCCATTACCTTCCACCTTTAAACTACTCTTTCTGATTTTAGTCTAATCCTCACATCCACACACTTCAGGCCCTCCTTCTTAAGTATTTGTAATTAAAACTGAAAATGAGATGTGAAATACAAAGTTAGAGAGACTTAAATGAGAATGGATGATGGTGAAGGGGAACCTTTAAGCTATTAAGTAAATTTCTGAAAATCTTTATCTCATTGGTTAGTAATAACGATTTCTCCATAAATAGCAGAAGTGTCCCTTTGGACTATTACAGGATTATGCAGCAGTATATCTAAGAAGCAAATAGTTTAAGAATATAATTGGATCCACCAGTCCTATCCTTTACTTTTCTACTGTAAATTTTTACTTTAGTGTAATAGTAGGCGGCTGTGTGTCTCAATACCTTTCCCTGAGAGATACGGGAAGCAGTATTTGTATTTATTCACTTGGTATAATGAATGGCAAGGTGTGCACATGTGTGCAAAAGTGGCAAAGTGGGATTTTTACCTTCCTTAAAACTTGATTTTGTATATGTTTACCCAAGCATCACAGAGGGTCCAATAGACATACAGTACTCCAGGATTTGTTTTTTTTTTTAAAGTTTTCTTCTGATTTTTCTGGTAGAAATAGCCAAATTCAGTACAATGGCACATGAAAAACCAGATTTGCAAGTTTTGGAGGTCAAAAGTGAGTCATCAGATTACTCATGCATGGGTGATGAAGATGATCCATGATGATAAAATACATGTTTTCATCACAGAAGAGTGGTGTGGGTATGCAGGGATAATAAAGATGATGATGATGATGATGATGACTTTGACAGGAGTCATGTGAGCCAGAGTTCCTGTGATGGTGAAATGGAGCAAGAATCGACTGATACAGACACAGAGAATACAGACCTCTTTGATTCCGATGAAGAAACAGCAATGTGAGGACATATCTGACTGGTCGAAATGTTGTGAAATTGTCATGCAACCAAATGAAACGATCCTAGTTAGAACTAGGTCCAAAGATACAGTAAGGGGTGAAAGGTATTGGACAGAATGCAGTACTGCCATTCAATGTTGGAAACTGTAACAATCAGAATGCTACCAGGGCTATGCATTTACACAAAGGCTGAAATGCAAGTAAAACATTCTGTATGTACCAACAGCCATATTCACTAGCTGAATTTATTACGACAACTCACTAGCTGAACTGAAAGCACTCATAGGTCAGCTGTACTTAGCAACCATTTCTCATGGTGATCACAGAAATGTAACAGACTCACGGAAAGTGATGAGTCAAAATATGGCATAAAAATTTAAGCCCTTTTAGATGCAAAGACTTATGCTTTCAATTTAGATATTTGTCCCAGAACTCAGCCGCCCGGTTACTGTTCATATAGTGATAAACTGAATAATGTGAGCAGACTTGTTGTTCCCATCTCCCAAACTGATTGGAATGTGACACTGGACAACTTGTTTACCAGCTTCCAACTGATGATACTAACAGAGCACAGGTTGACCAGCACAGGAACTGTACACAGGAACAAAGCACAAATTCCAAATGAAATGTTGCAATTTCCAAACAGAGAATTGTTTAACATAATCTTTGAATTTTAGAAAGATGTAACATTAACCTTATACATGGCAAAGAAAAACAAGCTTATACGCTTATGTCAACATTTCATCATGATGGAAATATTGATAGAGAAATCTTGACAAAACAGAACCCCAAAATGGTAGCTTTCTGCAACAAAACCAAAAGTGCAGCAGATACTGAGTTATGCAGGAACTATGATGTCACTTGAAACACAGAGTATTGGCCATTGTGTTTTACTTGATCCTTAACATGTGTGGCACAAACAGTTTGATAGTTTATAAAGAAAACAACAAGTGCAAAATACCACAGAGAAATTTTCTTAGAGGAGTGGGACTGGAGCTCATAAGAGATCATTCACAGCAGAGAAAACACAAAATGTTTCTGCCCAGGAGATGATGCAAAAAAAATGGTGGTGCATACTGGTGAGCTGACAGGTAAATGGGCAGGTGCAGCATCCCAAAGGCCTACTATGACAACAGGAAAACAAAAAAGATGTCAACTGTATCCTACAAGAAAGTACAGGAAAACGAAATGGATGTGCTATCCGGGTAAGCAATACTTGTGTATGGCTCGTGCAGTTGTCACGTGTGAAGACTGCCTTGGGTGTGACAGTTGAAGCAAAGCTTATTTCTGTGGTAGACTTTTATGTTTACATTGCTGTTCACATAGGTTTTTATTTCTGATGTTATGTTTTAGGTTTTGTAAGCAAGTAAACAGTTGATGTGGAAATGTTGATATCTATTCTAAGCACTCATTACATATTTGATATTTTATTTTATTGATGTCTTATTTCTCTGTTAAGTGCACATTATGCAATATAGTAGAAAGCTTTTGACAAAACAGGAAGGGAAGAGAATGGCCTGTCACATATGAAAGGAAAGCTAAGCAAACATGCTGTCAGTGTAAGCAAGATGTGTGCATGGAACATGCAGTTGTCATGTATGAAGACTTCCTTGGGTGTGATAATGGAGGCAAAGCTTATTTTTGTGGTAGAGTTCTATTGATATTTTCACTGTAGTTTATATAGGAATTTATTTCTGATGTTATCTTTTAAGCTTTCTAAGCAAGTATACAGCCGATGTGAAAATGTTGATGTTTATTCTAAATGCGTAATACATATTAAGAACTTTATTTTATTGATATTTTATGTTCCTGTTAACTACACACTGTTTAATACAATAAGAATCTCCTGACAAAACAGCAAGACCACTGAGATGTCAAGTATGTCCTACAAAAAAGCCAGGAAAGCTGTCAATGTAAGCAATACATGTGTATGGGACATGATGTTGTCATGTACAGACTGCCTTAGGTGTGATAATTGAAGTAAAGATTATTTTCTTTTGTAAAGTGCTACTGGTATTTTCATTGTAGTTCATATAAGAATTTATTTGTGTTATTATTTTTTAGACTTACTACATCAAAAACAGTCAATGTTGAAAATTTTGATACTTTTTTATAAACACACAGTAAATATTAAAAATCCAATATTTATTTTTGTGATTTTATTCCTGCTAAGTATTCACTGTTTAATATAATAAATCACATCAAATTAAAATTAATAATTCAGCAATAGAAATATTCTAAAGAATAAACATGGATCTGGCAGATGACAAAGTTAGTCTTGTGCTCTGGGGAACCCAACAACAGTCATTATACACTTGATGACTTATGTTCTTGGAAATGGTAACAATAGCAACAGGGAAGATTAACAGAGCATAGGTGAATTCAATACCTACCTCTATGATTGTTCTGTTTCTGACTAAGCATGTTGAAAACCTAAACAGAGTTCATACACTGAGGTAATGAAGACTTGAGTGACCTAGGAATTCCTGGGTTTAAATGCACATAGTCTTTCGAAACCACAAATCATCAGCTATTTCAAGGAAAAGCCAATTTCTCACTGGACAAATAAATAATATATACTCTTCCTAGACAATAAAACCATGCACTGTGAAAATATGGATTCTACCCAAATTCATCTATAAATTAAAATACAAACAAAATTTTCAAGTGTTTTAAACCTCTTTATTGTGATATATAAAACATTCATAAAAGTATACATAACACAAAAGATCACAAAAAAATTTATTACACAGCAATACCCTGGACCACTACCACAATGCCAGTACCCAAGGAATACTCTCATAATACACTCCCCCAATACCTATAAATGTAACCACTATTCTGACTTTTATCATAACTAACTATATTTCTTTGTTTCTTAGCAGTATGATCACACAGGCAGGAATTCCTGTTAAAATTTAGTATTGCTGTACTTCGGGCATTTTATGAATTACACAATATGTATCCCTTTGTATCTGGCTTCTTTCATGAATATTAACTTTGTTAGGTTCATTCTTGTTGAATATAGTCCTAGTTTAATTTTTATAGATGCAATATAATTTCATCCTTTTGACTAGATTAAAATTTATCAATTTTACTCTTGATGGATAATGAATAGTTACTATTATTGTGGTCTCAGGCTGGCATAATAAAATAGCAGACTTGGTGGCTTGCAAAACAGAAATTCATTTCTTTCAGTTCTGGGTGCTACAAGTCCAAGATCAAGGTAGTGAGAGACTGGTGTCTTCCGAGGCCTCTCTTCTTGGTTTGCAGACGAGCTGCTCCTCCCCAGGTCAACATGCGGCCCTTCTGCTGTGCATATGCACCCTTTGTGTCTCCAAAGTCCCCTATCTTTTAAGGAACCTAATCAGATTGGACTAGCATCCACCCTAATGGCCTCATTTTAACTTAGTCACTTCCCTAAAGTCTCTCGCTCCAAATGTAGTCATATTCTAAAATACTAGAGGTTAGGGCTTCAACATAAAAATTTTGTGGGGACACATTTCATCTCATAACTATTACAAACGATGCTGAGTTTCTCACACGTACCTTCTGTGCAGTGATTCTGTCTGGTACACAACAAGGAGGGGGCTACTGTGCGCGAGTCTGCAGAGTAGCCTGTGCCGTGTCTGAATGCGGCATGTACTTTTATTTTTCTTTTACCTTCTCTTTCT